ACGCTGAATCCGAAAATCCACATCAGAAGGCGCGAAAACGGCGAGAACATGCATTTTCCAAGTCCCCACATTTCGAAATTTGGGGATCCCCGCCAGGCTAAGACGCAGAGGTTGCAAAGAGCGCACGGTTTTTAACTGTGGCGGCATACGTACTCTGCCGTCTGGCAGGGATTCAAACAGCTCGGAGGACCCCGCCCCAAGGCGTAAGTTTCCCCAATTTGCAATCGTTTTTCTTGCTTTAGGTCGAACGTTTTATGCTTGCAGTTGCGCGATGTTGTGTCTCAGGGGGGCTACTTTCACATGGCAGAGAAATCTCAGAACCCCCATTTTGCCCGGACACTGCCTTTAATAAGTAAAATCATGACGCACCGTGTAGTTTAGACGACTTAATTTGCGCGTAAGTCTTAACCAAAACATAAACATGCATGTCTCATCATAAACAAGGTTTTGAGGATCCTTGACTTTTTTAAACTGTAAGAACGAACAATTATTAGCAAACAATATATTAAAGCCTCGCTGACCGGATTTATTCTGCCTCACATGGGCTCATTTAAAAGGAATGTCAGGCTCCAAACAAATTTCTTTTGCAAAGAACTTTGCCGGAAATGCAAAAGGAGATAGGAAAAATATATAATTATGAAAACCTGCATTACTGAGGACAAAAGGAGCCGGCCACTTACTTACTAGCTCTGCTGGCAGAATTATTCATATCATCAGAAATACGCATTTTGGATTCGGCTTCACCCACCTAGCGTATACGATTTTTGCCCTCTATAGATCTTGGAAGTAGTTTGAAGACAATCTCTTAGTTTTTTTGCTTTTTGAACCCAAGCAGACTCCTTCTTAGCATGATATTTATAGCGCTTATCACAACACTTGCTGAATTTTTCATTATTTATTTGGTTTTCTCATGCATAAGAGCCTGATCATGATGCATTGGCAAAATTGCTGTAAACAACCTCAGATGATTACAGAAATCACAGCTAACCAAAAGCTTTTACTAGATTAAACTCATAATTTTTTCAATTTACATGGCCCTGCCAAAACTTTGATTTCTGCAGAGACAGACAGGGAGTAGACTTGGAGAAGTAGGCTTATAAAGCACCATATTCAAAAGCTAATGAATTTAGCGAATAAACATAATTTACTTCGTTTATTCTTTTGCCGTTCATGAATAGTGCATCTGCTTTGGAGTTCTTGCATTATTAAAGCTCGTCTTGTCAAAAACATTTATAGCACTTTTACCCTAACATCTTTCATCCCCCCCCACCTTACCCTAGCTAAATTTGTCCGATTTGGTTCAAATCTCACGGAATCTTGTTCTCTTGTCTTAACTTCGCACAAACAGCAGTAATGCACAACACCATGAAGCCTCTTCTCATATCGGGACCTGAACTACATTTTTTTTCTTGTACAGATCATGAATATAAGAAATGCATCCAGCTTGGTCTGGCTTGTTCATCCAGTTAGATTTACGCTCTGGCTAATAGGGCCCTTTGAATGCAGGAAGCAGCAAAAAGACTTCTAGGAGAGGCAAACAATAGTGTATAAATCACAGCCATAATTTTGCCTAAAATGCCGCTCTAAGAGTAGTCAAGGGACGAATGTCTCACGTCCTCTGGGCCGGTAGTAATCCCCCCGACCTGGCGGCAGGTCTCGTCGGCAGGTTGCTGGCACCTTTCCGCGAGGTGGCCAGAAACTAAGAACCGAAATTTAGGCCGTCCCAAGCCTTTTTTCAAAAAATTTTCTCGATAAAGTTGCCGCCTCGACTCTGTAGAAAACTTCATAAAAATCTGCGGCTCCAGAACTCCTCCTTTAGTAAAATATCTGGAATTCCAGGAGGAGCTGCCGGCAACTTCGCGATGTCAGTTGCCGGCAACCTGCCGGCAGGTTGCCGGAATCCGCGAGATGGCAGCTGCCGGCAGGTCAGAGAGCACGGGAAATAGCGTGCTCTTTTGAGAGAGCGAGCTGCCGGCATCTCGACGTGCCCCTACCACGTCGAGGTGGTGGCACCTTTGCCGACGGCGTCTGCGAGTTTGCGAATTGCGGCGATATCACACAATTTACGTCAGGCGAAAAAATCAAAAATTCTACTTTTCATGAAAAAACTATCATTTTTCTCATTATATGGGTTTTTCTTTTTTAAAATGACGATTTTCTTACAGAGAAAAAATCCACTAATGCCTTAGAATCATATAGAAGACGAACTGTTTTGGCAATCCCCTATAAATCTCAGTTTGCACCGATTTCGCTCCTCTCTCGCTCATATCAATCAGCTGTTCTTTCAGGTCAAAGTCTCTCACGCAATGTATCGATCCCTTTTATAGGCAGCCGTTCACCAGTGCGTTCCTCCTATTGCTGGTGCAAAAGGCAATGGCTGACCGAATGGTCGAATGGTTAACGTGGTGGCACTTCAAGCTAACGCACATAGGTTCGACCGCGCGCAAGGTAGCATTTTGCGGCTGTCTGCGTCATCAAAACTTAATGTGCGAAATGATTGCGTGCCAAGGTTACATAGGATTATTGAAACCTACAATCACTCCGCGAGCTGCCGGCGGAGTTGGCATCTTTCCGCGATGTGTGCCAACTTGCCGGCATCTATGATGCCACCACGTAGGGTAGATTACTATCGGCCCTGGTTTGCTTTTCTTGACAGTGAGGTAAATCAACTTTTTTATTTAGTCTTTGCTTCCCTTGACAATGAGGTAAAGCAACTTTTCTTATTTAGTCTTTGCTTCCCAAGCACAATAACTTTTTACTTTCTTTAAGCCTATTTGAGTTTTGCCACATACTTTCGAAAAAAATTAAATTAGGTTGGCGAACACAACGCAAGCGAATGTATCCATACACTTTCAGAGAATTTTGCCAGCAAAGATTAAGCTATTTTGATTCATCTTTATATTCACTGGAAGTCGCTGTTTGGTCACGGATACTGGCAAAACTTAGACTTTCGCTTGAATCAGAGAAGCTGTTCTCCAAAAAGAGCTAAGTGGTTGTTGTTGCAGAATCTGGAGAGCACACAGGCTTCAGCACAGATTCTCAAGCAAACTTCTGCATGTTTTACGGGCCTATCGTCCAAAAGAAGTGCCGTCCCGCAGCTCTCGGGCAATGGATCATTTTCCTTCTCTGGAGTATGTATCAAAGTGAATCTTTTAGGCTGTTTAGCGTGTTTGGCTGAAAATATCAGACATCAGGAACACGTCATCTCTATTGAGCACTTTTCTTTTGGGCGAACATCCTAAGATAAGATTTTGTTCTCTCACCTTCGTTCTCGTAACAAAAATGTTTTTGCCTCGCACTTTGCTAATGCCTTTAAAGGAGAAAAATCGCTAAAAAATCCGCATGACTGGTGAATGTACTAAATCTATTACCTGTCCTGTGGTTTTTTTGACATTCAATTTTTCACCGCAATAAATCATATTCTACTCATAACGTAATAAGTTTGATATGTATCCATTCGACAGTGCAACGCAAACGCTACAAGATGCCATTCAAGCATAGGCAAAAAGTTTAATCATTGTGAAGTTTGTAACTGAAGTACAGAGAAAGGTCCATGTACCTGAAATCGAAAAAGCCAAATTTTTCATAAGCTAGGTAGCTGGTCCTTTATCGGAGAAATTTTTGCACCTATTCGCTCACGATTCGCATTTATTCGAAATCGTAGACAGTAAAATACACCCTGCAGATACCCTAGCTTATGAAAAATATGGCTTTAACGTAGCTTAAAGAATATAGAAGACAATCTATCAGTTCAAAGTCAATTAGTTAGTCAGAAATTTCATTTTTCAAGACAGACGAGGTACTGCTAGCTAATCTGGAATTGTGGGATTTTCCTTGAATTTCACTCCTCCACTTTACTTACCTAGCTGTGCCGCAATTTCAACATGCCCTACTTTGACATCAAAATGTATCACAGTTTCTATTAAAACATCTCTCTTCTTTTGCCCTCTTCCAGGTGAATTGGTAGTGATAAAGGACATGTCTGCCTGCACTAAATCCAACTCATTCAAGCACACCCGCACTATGCAGTCCTATTTTTCTGATCTGAGTCATAATGAGTATGTGAGTAACTGAGTCATCAGTCTATTCGACCTTAAAAATTGAAAAAGAGTAGGAAGTGCCGCGGAGATTAATGGCCAATTAAGTGAAAATACGTTATGGAATTTGAGACGTGAAGTCGAGTCCGTGACATTTTATTACGAGACTTCCTCTTCGGAACTGTTGTTCTCGTTATTACAGAATTATTCTTTCTCTTTCCATCCACGAGCTGGTACCACATCTTTCCATGGGTTGCTTTACTTTTTGTACTACTGGATCTGTCTACACTTTTTGGTTGCTATTTGAGAAGTAGCACACGATGTGATCTCGATTTTTGAGCGGATGAAGAGTTTCAAATTGTCAGAAAGAGTGAATATGTGAAATAGGAATTACCCAACTTTTAACTGGTATCAAATTCCATTTTTTGCAAGACCAAAATGCAGTCATTACAGTTGCTCAATGCATGTACTTTCCTAGCTCTTCGACGTTTCATAAGTCTTTTATTAGCGAATTTATTCAGTACTTGAGGTACAACAGCTGAAAAGCTAAAAGAGATTTTCTGCATGATTACTGGGAGATTACATACAGACAGGAATTTATAGTCACCGATCCCTACATTGCATCTTCGTGCATAGAGTATCTAAATCTAGCCAGGATCAACACTTTTACAGACAAGGAATTATGGCTTTGACTGAATTAAATGCTTGACGGTAGTCATCAAAACTCGATTCTATTTTCTATGTTTATATATCTGTTTACTGGTAAGCCTATGACCTCATTTATGCCTTACTGAGCTCAGAAGCTATGCCCCTACGCAAGTGGTACCTCCGCATCTTATGTGTGTAAATAAATCTTTTTTCTATTTTCATACCTCTACTACTCAGTTTTATACCAAGTCGTATTCGTAGCGCTATCGCTTGGCCTTTTTCTAGAAACTTCTGGCTAAAACTATAGTTTATTTCAGGAAAATGCAGTCTTATGCTAGATATTTATTATTCGCTATGATCTCACTATCTTTATTAGCGCAGACTTTCGCAGACGAGGAGTGAGTTACATTAATTATCAGGCAGTCTCAATGGTCATAGTATTTTTTTATTTTCAGAGAAATTGATCGATTACTCGGAGCTCGAGTGGAGCGAAATTGCTTCTTCTCACCTATGGGTTGTATGTTTTTGCCGGGCAAGAAGCTTATGTCGCGAGTACGACGACTTCCAAGACGTGAACGATCGAAGGATGAATCATGGCTTTGGTTCTTCTGAGAAAGTGGCTGAAAAACCATTTCGTCAATTCATCATCACCTCAGTGTGCTTTCGAAGCTTGAAAAAAGTGCGCGTCGGCACTCAGTCGTCGTTCATTGGTTTATTGCCTAAGGCCATAGCGTATTAATGTTTGTTATGGTCGTGTTTATATATGTAAGTGCACTGTTGTCGATCTCTTAGGTAACCTGGGTAGAATATATTGAAGCGGTCATTGATCTATTCAAGTTATTTTTATGTCATTGTTTTAGTTACATTCCAGTGAATAGGTTCGGCATAAAAATGTTGAAAAATTCTTTTCGATCAATAAAAACTACGACTTAACACGAGCAGGGCAGAAGGACCATTAAGTCCGTAGTAATTCTTATCTGGCGGCAAGGCTCGCTCTCACCGCGTCGTCATCTTGACGTGAAACCGGCGAAAAATCCAACCTCACATTCATGCTCACAATGCCCTCGTCACAAAAGATTTCTGGTTGCGGAGCTAAAGACTTTAAATAAGCCTATACAGCAGTTAAAACTCTGTAAACCCCCCCCCCCCCCCCCGTACAAAATTTAAAGTCAGAAGGTGCTGTTAGCAACTCGCAAAGTGATCTGCCGTCACCTCGTTGAAATTTGCGCGGCGAGAGCTGCCAGCACCAGAAAATAGGACAAATGGACCCCCTTAACTCATTCACGACAGTACGACCCATCTGCGGGTCGTAGTGTTCTGCCATTCTGGACAATACGACCCACCGGTGGGTCGTAAGATTCATGAAGCGCTGTCTTTGCCAGTTTACGATGGAATTCTGCGGGGCTCTGGCACATGATTGGGGGCACCTTGGCGAAGCTCTAGCCGGAGTAGTCCGGATTCGGGATATGTAATGTGATGTTACGGTAGGTATACTGTAGATAGGGGTAAGGCACAGACTTTAGCTCAAATTTCTCGCAGAGTGGTGCTGTTTTTGACAATTTAAGTTTACATGCACGAGAAATACAGGGAGAGCACGAGACTGATGTCAGCCCATCAAAAATTATCGATTTTATTGATTTTGGTGATTTTTTGCATTTTTCATCCCAGGAAGCTCGAACTTTGCATATATAGGTTTTGTAGCATGCTGATTACGAAAATGATAGTCTCAAATTTTGATACCACCTTCTAATATCAGTTTCTTGATTTCTACGAAAATTCTACCGTGCTGCTACCGTAGTCTCACCGTGAGAATGTAGTGAACAAAGTGGACACTATAATTGTGATCAGCACGTGAAATAACCCTAAGGCACAAATTTTCATGAAAATCCATGATGTTGGGGTTCGTACAGAATGACTACCGTAACCTTACCGTATGCTGCCAAACACTGAAATAAATCATGTTTTGGTAATCAGCGTGTTCGATAACCCTTACGGGGAAATTCTCGGAGACATGTTCTGAATTTCTCTCAAAAAGACTACCATTTCGGACAATACGACCCACGGGTGGGTCGTAATTCTGACGAAGCGAAAAATGCTTTGGTCCGAAATCGCAGTAATCGAAAAATCGGCCTTGCCGTGAAGTGTTAAGAGACGAAGCTGCCAGCAGCCCGGCCTGCCCCTACCATGTCGAAATATTGGCATTGTCTATGAGTTTGTTTAATGTGGCAACAATATCACACAAATCACCTCTCAACAATCAACCTATCGGGACATCCTGGAATCTCCTTTTCTTCAAAACCCTCGATTCAAGCGTTGCCGAATGGACAAAAAATTAGCATTATTATCTCATTATGTCATCATCATCGTCCTCTGTCTCATCCAAAATCTTGCTGTGAACTTTTTGTTCATGTGTAAATCAGCTATTTTTGCAAAATTCAAGCACGTTCAAGTCTGGAGATGCTACTTGCAGCGGTCTGAATGTGATCACTCACCCCTGTCGTACTGCTAACTCTGCAATAGGTGTGTCAAATTTGCCGGCTTCTATGGTCGCACCAGGTAGTATAGATTACTATCGCCCTGAGAGACAAAGTAGTTTTTGCCATCAATCTTTACCATTTCCTCCCTAATCGCGTCGGCTTCGATTCAGAGTTAAAGCTTGCTTTCTTATTTGAAACTCAGAGTATTATATGCTATTCTGGATCATAGTGGAAAGGAATGACTCTTGGGCCCAAATCCTTACTGAGAACTCAGCGGCATGTCCACTCTTGCTTGGAGCGTGAGTGCAAATTGGTCTTACGAGAAATGATACTGTCTTAGGAAGTCCCTAACTCATCCCTTGTCTGCGTCTCCTTGTGCTCCAAACCTGCGCTGCAGAGCTCCTTTGCTGGACAAATTTGTCTTCCCTTCTGGCTAATCGCATAACAAGCAGCCATCTCACCGCGAATGATTGAGCCACGACCTGCATTCATATGACTGTGAGGAATTGATTTGGGTGAATGACAGATTACTTTACTATTGTTAAGTCTACAAACCGACAAGACGGTAGATGCAAAGTACTATTTTTATTAGCTAATAGTAGTAAATTTTGAGGTTGGCCAAGACCTTCAAATTTTACAAAATCTTTTATTTGTACATCTTGTATTAGCATCTAACTGCGTTTGTCAACATTTCAATCCAGAAAACGAGAAATCTAACTTCCACATTTGATGCACTCCTCGCTATTTTTGAAGGTAAAAACTTTATGAACCTTGGAGAAAATTACGCATGTCAAACATGGATTTGGTGTCAGGCTTCCGAACGAGCATATTCATACAGATTCAATATGGATAGACGGAGTACCTAGGTACTTATCTTTTAGATGTACAGTTTAGAGCGAATTATCAGTCTTTCTTTAGACGCTTCATAGAAGGTCAAAGCCTTCAAAGGCTAACTTTCTCACGAGAAAAAAGATATTTGGCCACCGTGGCCGTTCGATATGCGGCATTTACGATAATCCCCTTGAAACGCTGATTTCAAAACAATATTTGGTATTTGCGGAATGATGTTTCATATAAATCATGACTCCTCGCATCGACGCATCTGCACAAGAGTAAAGGCTATTGCATGACGAAGGCGCAGAAGCGGTATTACTTGAGCGGGCGCAAACGCGACGCGCGCATATCCTCACTGTTGTAAATCCTCTGCCTCATGCGCTCCGCGGCTAATAAAGCCGCGTTCCCCAAAGGTTTTGTGCCTTTGTCATGCAGTAGTCTATAGGAGTAATGTCGGTAGGTGCTGAAGGTGTCGAATGGTTTAGCGGTAGCACAATAGATGCGGGCTTGATCTCGATCGGTGCACAACAACAACAACAACGCGCTTCAAGGCGAGCGTTATGATATACTATATCCGAACTGGCATCCCGTAATCCACCCCGGTTTGAAGCCAGTTCTATCTTGCTTGACCTCTCATGCAGTGAAACATCCTACTTTCGATTCCGACTCATCCATGGTTCGCTTCTCACTGTCCTTACCATGTTTTGATGATCAGCAGATCAGAGTGAGCTTAAACGCTCATCCTTGACCATGGAGAATGTGTACAAGCATAAAATTTTTTTGCTTTATGTATAGAGATAATAAATTTCAGGTAGCCACGGTCACCAGTCATCCTTCCCTTGTTAGAAAGAACACCGCAATTCGAACATTTTATATTAGGCTGACACACGAAGACTCCAAAATAGGAGTCATCTTATATTGAAGTTTCATTATACGTTATGCCAGTCATATTGTTACAACTGAATTTCAATGTCTCCTAAGAATGAAATTAGAATTTTGAGTAATAAAGTGAGCAAGTGTGACATTCCTGACAACTTTTCAGATTCGTTTGAAGAAATTGTCTTGAAAATCTGTAAGAAACTTTGAAACATGGCGGCTAGTTTACAATGGTGCTGAATTTTAGATGTTCCTACTACTTCACAGTAAGATGGGACGATCGGTGATTGGCTCATACTGTGAATGAGCCAGCTCTACAGAATGATACCCAATCTCGGCACTATTTTTAGAAAGAAAGACATAAACTGACAGTGTACCCAATTTCGGGACACTCTGTAGTGTGGATGCCCATAATTTTCAGTACTATCTTACACCTGCTCATCGAATGTTCGATATGAGATGATGTTACCTGATGTACTAACTTTACAGATCAAGAAAACAAGATGAATCCATATTCTTGCAAAGTCTTTGTCATGCTGTGACTTCTCTATAATATTTTTCAAGTAGAGGCTGCGACGAGTGGACAGGTAACTAGCAGTGGCGGTCGCAAAAACCCGTCTGAGGGAGGGAGAGCTGGGGCGCGGCAAAAATTTTTCTCAAATGAACGTGCGTGGGGTTAACCACGCACTTCGAAAAAACTTTTGGGGTGCCTCTAAGAATTTTTGTGGGTCCATGACCCCTAAAATCTTGAAAAGGGGGGCATGGTGGCAGCGGCGCCCTCGAAAAAAATTTACACGGCTAAATTAAATGTTCAAAAGATTTTAAAAAATATCTAAATTGCTTGCAAGAATAAACAAGTCACTTGCACATTTTCATAGTCCATGTAAGTAACTTTTCAAAAATTTCGCGACCCATTCTCGGGGGGGGGGGGGAGGGAGGGTGGGTGGGCCTAGATATGTTGCCTCTCTCCTTCCTCCGACACATCAGTTTTCCCATGCAGCCATCCATCTGCTTGTTTTGTCAACACTTGCAGAGCAAATCTGCTCTACCTCATTAGACGATCTTAAGGTAGTATGAGTAGACGTCATGTTGGCTTATGATGGTATAACTGTGCCTCGGAAACGATGTAAAGAAGTTACCTCATCTCAAAGTGATGCAATGGGACGTCGCCGACATTAGCATACTTCCTTTTTATAAGATTTGAGACAGATAAAGAGAGATGAAGTGGTTAGATAAGAGAATATGATTACGTCGCCAACTTTGTTTGCGCGTCATGCCGGTATGTTCAGACATAGCAGATGGATAAGCCGCGCTGTACTTTCAAAAGCACATCTTTCTTCTTTCTTCACTTCTCAAATGGATTCTGATATGCCTTCAAACTAAGACTCAACTATTAGGTTGGCTAAAAAGTAAGTTCCTATTGACATACAAATTGTCATAAAAATTTTTCTTGTTGCTTTCAAACTATGATTCTTTGTGGGAAAGTAGCTCGAAGCTTCCTCTATCATACATCAAATAATCAGGATTTTCTATTGGAAGCAAAGACAGTTATACCCCAACATGGCGAAATTTCCAAAAGCTCAATTCTTTGACTTCTTGAGCTTCGTTTTCATGCTGTAATGGATGTAAAGAACAGCAGTTTGGTGTTTGGATACAGAGGAGTTATCCCTACTTAGTG